AATATATAATGGAGAACTGTCTACAATTGATGAGCAGAGTCTGGAAGACACCTTGCCTATAACATCTGAAAAAAAATCCTTGTCATCCATTGTAGCCAGATACTCTCTGAGCTTATTGCACATTTCAATGATGAAAATCTGGCCTGTGAACAGTCTGACATTCAAATTAAGCTCCTGCTTCCAAATGGACAGTATGAGGTGGGACAGGATGAAAGAGGGGTTCTTAGAGACTGCCTTTCTGAATTCTGGCATGAATTCTATGAGCAGTGCACCATGGGTAACACCCTCAACGTGCCCTTTCTCTGGCATGATTATGGAAGCTAGCATGGGAGAGTGAAGGCTGGATCATTTATTTTGGCTGGCAAAAAGAAAAATATCTCCCAATTAAACTTGATCCAGTGATCTTAGAGCAAGCAGTCCTGGGACATGTGAAAAGTAATCTCATAGATAACTTTCTAAAGTATGTCTCAGAATCAGATTGCACCGCTTTGAAATCCTGCCGAAGAGACTTCAGAAGCTTAGACCAAGAAGAACTTAGAACTGCAGAAGAATGCCAACTGAAGATTCTTCAAGAACTGGCAAACAAAACTCTCATCCAAGAGCCTGTTTTTGATTGAGCAGTGGAATGGTGTGCTTGCCCCTCTCAAAAAGCAGCTAGTGGAAGTGGAAGCTGTCTATGAAAACATGCAGCCCACAGCAAGGAAAACTATAAGGTCACTCAAGTTCCCCACCACAATGAATGCTAAAGAAAAGGAAATAACAAAACATCTGACCACATACCTGTGAGAGTGTGATTCAAAGTGTCACGTCCCGATTATGCTGCTCCTCCTGTGTGCCATGTCCCCTTGTTAACTATGTGTGGAATCCCCGTGTTACCAGCTGTGCCTAGTCTTGTTTAATTGAGTCCATGTATTTAAGTGCTTCCCTGTTAGTCTTTCCTCAGTCCTGTCATTAATGTCTGACATCTGTCCTTTGTGCTGCATCAGCTTCCTTGCTGTTCTCCAAATAAATCCCTTCTTTACCTGACCCCACGGCTTATGTGTTGCTTTCCCGCTCCATGACACCGAAAACAAGACACAAAGCAACAGTCTCCATTTCTTTGATTCTGTACAGGCTCAGATCTGGTTCTAGGTAAGACTATAACCATTGACTTTACAGATATCCAAGGCTTTGAGAGAAGGTCTGTGGCACATTTTCTAAGATTTCAATTCTAAGATTGTTTTCTAAAATTGTCAATTCATTACAATAGCTACCCAGATTTTAGGTCTGAAATGAATAAAATTCTGGAAAGTAATATATGGGTCATGTACATAATTTAGTGCCTTAATCTTTTGATACATTTTTCTATGAAACATTCTTATGTACATTAATACTTTAATGTATCCACTAGGTGCAGCACCAGTGTAAATTACAGTTGAAGAGTAAACATTTGCTGTCTGTATACTGTACCTCAGGGGAAGACATTCCTGTCCATGTATGATAGATGTTGTTACTTGGTTCTACTTGTTGGGGACATCACAGACAAATCTGTGTTTTTGGTTTGTATTGGTATTCTTGCAGTAGTGTAGTGTAGAGACGGCTGGCAAAAAGTGTCTGACAAATTAAACGTGTAAGTAGTTTTTAGTTATTGTATTTATCACTTGAATGTAGTATTACGTTTCCAATGTTTCATTATTATCTAATTGTCATAATTACAGATCAAATACAAGTACAATCATGCAGGACATGGGAACAAGTTTATATATATATATATATATTTATATATTTATATATTATATATATTATATATTTATATATATATATATATTTATATATTTATATATATATATTTATATATATATAAATACACTCACCTAAAGGATTATTAGGAACACCTGTTCAATTTCTCATTAATGCAATTATCTAATCAACCAATCACATGGCAGTTGCTTCAATGCATTTAGGGGTGTGGTCCTGGTCAAGACAATCTCCTGAACTCCAAACTGAATGTCAGAATGAGAAAGAAAGGTGATTTAAGTCTGAGTATTTCACAATC